TCAGATTTATAAGGCTCCCTTCAAGGTTGTACATGCACATTTTGCTATTGCTGTTTGAATACCTATGCTCACAGAAGGAAACAAAAACAGAAGAGGCAGCCATAGGCCCAAGACCCAGGCTCAAGCTCTCTGTGTGTGTTCATTGCCCATGTGCCAACAACCTGCTCAAGGAAGCCATCTCCCCTTTTTAAATCCTACCAAACAAATTAAGTCTACTGAGTAAGTCTTCCTGGCTCACTGGCCAGTTATCTTCATGCAGATAGCCCTTTCTACCATCACAGGTCCAAGGGACCAAAAAGGGGATTGCATTATCATCAGCTGGAGGCAGCCAGGGCAAAGAAGTGCATGCTTGCTGGGATAACCCCTTCAGGTCCATCCCCATGCATGTTGTGTGGGATGCATCCTAATCCAACTCCTGATACCCAGAGAATACCACGTTCTGGGAGAAATCAAGTATGAGCTAAAAGATAATGGAGAAACTCATGCTTTATGTTAAGTGGTCTACAGCATTTTAGCAATGCTGACTTGCAAGTGAGAAATGATGTAAAAGGTACATCAGAAACATCTATGATTGGAAAAGGGTATGAATCAGTTATATAGAATAATGAACCACAGATAGTCCAATAGGATCATAAAGGAGGCACCATAGGATCATAGTACTCGAATCTGGTAAGGACTTTAGATATATCCAGTCCAATGCTCTCATTTCACAGATGAGACCTGGGGAGTTTAAATGACTTCTCACCCACATAAGTAGTGAGTAGTGGTAGCAGAACTGAAATTCAGGCTCAGGTTTTCTGATCCCAAATCCAGTGCTCTTTCCAACATGTTAAATAAAGCAGCTAAGGAGCATTAAGAAGGGCAGAAAAACCAAGATTCTGTGGTGACAAAGAAGCCAAAGGAAGAAAGAGTTTCGAGGAAGGAGGTGGCATCTGAGTTATCTAATACTATCAAGAGTGATCAAGGATGTGGAGGACTGAGAAAAGCTTTTCTAATGATTATATAAAATCAGTGCTGACCTTGAAAAGAGCCGTTTCAGGGCAGCTAGGTGGTGCAGTGGATAGAGCAGTGGACCTGGAGTCAGGAGGACCTGAGTTCAAAACTGACCTCAGGCACATAGCACTCACTAGCAGTGTGACTCTGGGCAAGTCACTTAACTCTCATTGCCCTGCCAAAACAAATAAGAAAAAAGGTTAATAAAATAAAATTTAAAAAAGAGCTGTTTCAATAGAGTGAGTGCTCAGTTGTGCTGCCTCCATCAGACTCGGAGTTGGGGAATTGAATTTGGGTTTTAAAAGATGTAGAAAAGGATTAGAAAAGCTCCTACGGGGAATATGGTAAGGAGACAACAAGAGATTAGTACTGTTGTGGTCAGACTATGAATTTCAGATGTGGTGTACCTAGTCAAGCACACTTTTATAACTCATCAGCAATAGTCAGTGAACTGGGAGTAGGAATGGAAAAAACAAATGGTGGGGATGATTAAGAGCTGGGAATTGACACAGCAGACATGGCAGGTCAAAGGAGCTTAGGGTATTTAAGAGGCTGAGGGAGTCCAGGTTGGGTAGAAAATCACGTAACTCTCTTTTTCTCTCTCTCTCTTTCTCTCTCTCTCTCTCTCTCTCTCTCTCTCTCTCTCTCTCTCTCTCTCTCTCTCTCTCTGTCTCCCCTCATTTCTATCACTTTTCTATACAAAATGGAGATGGATATTGAAGCATTTTCTAAGACCATCCCAAGGTCACTATTCCAACTTGCCCTCATTCAGGATGGAGATAACCCTGACATAGGGATCCTGGTGAGAGAGAAAAGCAGATTTGAGAGATATGACAGGTAGAAGACATGAAGGTTGTAGTCAGGAGAAGCTGTGACTTAAAAGTTTTTAGATGTGGAGCACAGTGATGGGTGGTTAAAGTGGATGAGATCAGAGTCCAGATGACAGTCTAGGTCTCAACTGGATCATCCTCGTATTGAAGGTCTCTAAGATGACGTCAATAGAAAAGAAGTAGTGAAAGCCAAATGAATATCAAGGAAAACAGAAATGTGTCATAAGTGTTAGATGAAGGCAACAGCGCAGTAAAGAGAGAACATGACCTAAAGGATGGTACGTAGAGTAACAATGATGGAATAATGAACGGGAACACCATACCAACCACTTTTCTTTCTTTTCCCTTTTTTTAAAATTACTTTATTGATATTTTTAAAATATCACTGTCACTGCCCCCTAGATTCTGAAAAAACACTTGATCCTTTCATCCCTATTATCTATTTTACTATTTGTAGCTAAATTTGTAGCTAAAGTCCTAGAAAAGAGGCATCTCCAGTAGCTTCCAGTTTCCCTCCTTCTTACTCTCTTGATCTCTTATAATCTGGCTTCTGACTTTGTCATTCCACCAAAAATGCTCTTTCCAAGGTCGCTAATGATCTCTTAGCTGCCAAATCCAGTAGCCTTTTCTCAATCCTCATCCTCCTTGACCTTTCTGCAGCCTTTGACCTTATTGATCACTCTCTCCTCCTTGATAATCTTCTCTCTAGGTTTTCAGGACACTGTTCTCTCCTGGTTCTCCTTCTACCTATTTGAACTCTCCTTTCTGTCTCCTTTGCCAAGATCACTCCCTTTAATGGCAGGTGTTTCTTGGGTTCTGTCCTGGGCCCTCATCTCTTCTACCTTTATCCTACTTCACTTGATGATCTCATCAGCTCCTTTAAATTGAACTATCATCTCTATGCTGATGATTCATAAATTCACCTATCCTACCCCAAACTCTCTGCTCACCTCCAATATCCAATTTCCAAATGCCTTTTTCAGACATCTCAAAGTGGATGTCCAATAGATATCTTAAAACTCAATCTCCAGAATGGAACTCATTATCCTTCCCCCTACACCTTCCTACCTCTCTCACCTTCTTTATTACTATAGAGGGCAACACCATGCTCCCAGGCTATCAGGCTCACAACCTAAGTGTCATTCTGGATTTCCCACTATCTCTTACCCTCCATCTAAATCCAATCTGTTGGCTTGTTGATTTCACCTTTACACCATCTTCCTCTATATCCCCCATCTCTCCTTTGACACTGCCACCTCTCTAGTACAGGTTCTCATCATTTCACACCTTGATTATTACAAAAGCCTACTGGTGTATCTGCCTGCCTCAAGTCTCTCCCCACACTAGTCATTCTAATTGGAACACTGAGGCCAGTCAACCCTCTAATCTCATCTAATAAGGTTCTGTCTATTCAACAGTCCTTCCCTACCACTCACAGACCTCTAGCCTATCTCTCACGTTTCTATTTGCTTCTTTGTTATCATCCATACCAGTGGACCTTTTTGTAACACCTTTTGCCCTTTTATTTCTTCCCATACACTCAGTTCCATCCGTCATAGCTCCTCATAAACTATCTTTTTTACCAGCCCCTTCACAATTGTGTCCTGTTGAGCTCTTTTTCTGTTGTGGTTTTGTTCCCCTACACCCTCACACTCTTTACTTTCATTTCTTTCTTTTAACTGACCTCTCACTCTCTCCATCTACTGCCTACCAAACTGAAGGTCTACACCTTCCCAGGTCTGTGGGGAAGATAAATGGCTCCATTTGTGCTTCTACTGATTGAGGCAACTTGAGCTAGCTGCAGAAGAATTTCCCAGGGGATCTAGCAGGTTTCAAACACATTCTTACCACACCCTCTGGAAAGTCTTTGTGATAAGAGGTGTTCATCCTCAACTGACTGTAAAAATGTATTGCTGGTTTAGACATTGCTGCTCTGCCCCGCCCTGTCCATTGTGACAAACTCCCTCTTGTCCTTATTGGTTTAAATCAAATCCCTGACTATTAGGTTTCATAACTTTGCGGTTTCTGTTGTGCTGTTTTGGCCAGCAAACTGATCCTAAAAGTAGAATTATTGAGTTCTCTGGACGGAAGTGAATTCCCCCAAAAATGTAAGTTTGATATTCATTTGTCTTTTAAAATAACTCTTCTTCTTTTGCCTAAAACATTATACTGCTGTGATTTTGTAATTTTTCAGTGTTTTGGTGTCTGAGGGGAACCTTACACAATGGAAGAAAATATCCATGAACCGATAAGGGAATTACTTTTTCAAAGGGTTTGTTTGGGCTTCTTGGATTTGTTGGCTTTGTTTTTTTTTTAATTGTGAATTTGACAAACAACCACAAATATGAACATTTCCATATGTAAAAAACAGAAAAAGAGTTTTGTATGTGAAAACCACAAATCTCTGTTATGTATAGTTTAAGTTTTAAGTATTTATGAAATTTAACATGGATGTTCCAAATCTTCCTTGCTTCTTTTTAGCCCCTTCAGAACTTCTTTCTATTCTCTTCTCTGTATTTTTTAATATTTTATGGACACTTTTTCTCTTTTGCATTTCTGTCACTCCACTCCACCCTACAAGTCCCCCTATGCCAAATAAAAACCCTCCCCTGTAACAAATACATATAATTTAAAAAAACAAATTTATATAGTGATTGTGTTTCATTCTACAACTATAGTCCACTACCTCTCAAGAGATGGGATATTACAATATCAGTATTCTGGGGTTGTGACTGGTCATTGCATTGATCAAGATGTCTTTTAAAATTGTTTTCTGTTATATACTTACATCCTTTTATCCTTGCACTCATTATATGAATTGTTTTCCTGGTCTGCTCATTTCATTGCATCTGATCATTCAAGTCTTTTCAGGTTTCGCTAAATCAATTCCTTTTGCAATAATATTTTATTACATTCATATGTTGTAATTTGTTCATCTGTTCTCTCTCTCTTCCCCTCTTTCTCTCTGCAATTAAATGACTTACCCAAGATCACACAGTTAGTGAATGTCAAGTGCCTGAGGCCAGGTTTGAACTTAGGTCTTCCTAACTCCAGGGCTGGTGCTCTATCCACTGTACCACCTAGCTGCTCCTCAACCATTCTCCAAATGAGGAATACTCATTTTGTTTCCAGCTCTTAATTACGGTAAAGCACGCTGGTATAAATATATTTGTACACATGGATCCTTTTCCTCTTTGGGAAAAAATCTTCGACCTCTTGGGTTGGAGGGTTGGGAAAGAGAGTATAAACCTGGTAGTGGTATTTCAAGGGTGAGTGAAAGGGTATATAGAGCTTAGTGATATTTTGGGCATAGTTCCAAATTGTCTTCCCGAATAACTGGACTAATTTAAAGCTCTGCCAATAGTATATTAGGGTCCCTGTCCTCACACAGCCCCTCCAATAACTATCATTTTCCTTTTTGTGTGTGTCATTTTTACCAGTCTGATAGACGTGAGGCAGAACCTCAAAGTTTTCATTTGCATCTCTCTTATTATTAGTTTGGAGGATTTTTTTTCATGTGGTTGTTAATAAACTTTTGGGAAATGTTCATAGCTGTTGACCATTTATCTGTTGGGGAATAACTCCTATTCCTACGTGTTTGTATTAATTACTTATATATCTTGGATATCAAACATCTGTTGGAGGATTTGCTGCAAATATTTTCCCCTAAAGAACCCTAAATAAATAACCCTAAAGAAGCCATCGATAAGAAGAAAGTCCCCATATATGCCAAAACAGTCAACAAATGGAAACAAAGCAAATACCCATAATTAGGGAATGGCTAAACAAATTGTGGTACATGAATGTAATGTGATATTACTGTTTTGTAAGAAATTATATATGTCATGAATACAGAGAAGCATGGAAAGATCTATAGGAATTGATGTAAAGTTAAGCAGTGCCAAGAAAATAATATAATGCAGTAACTACAACACAATGTAAATGGAAAGAGAAAAACACACCAAAAAATCAAAAAAAGCAAAAAAGCAAAAGCAAATGTAACAAAATTATAAAGATCAAATATGACTTGAATGAAGATGTTAGAGGACACCCCTCAACCCACCCCTTCATGGAAACTGGAGGTCCACAGGTATTACGCATTGCATATTCTTTCAGACTTTTTCAGTGTATCAATTAGTTATACTGACCATTTTTTCACTTTAAAAAATAGTATTTGTTATGTGGCATGACTCAATGGGGAAGGGAGAAGGAGGGCTACTAGGGATAACTATGATGATGTAAAGAACAGAAGACATGAGTAAAAACATAAAAAAGTATAGTCAAGCAAAATGAAATCTATACTTCTGCCATGTCTGAAAATATGTCTATTTAAGCTAACAGTCCTCTGAAGTAATGGTTGGCCATTCCATTGATCAGACTTCTTAATCATTTTGAAGTCCCTTGTCTTTACAATGTTGTTGTGTTATATAAATTTTTTTTATGTTCTGCTCCCTTCACCCTGAATCAGGTCATAAAGGTCTTCCCAGGTTTCTCTGAAAACGTCCCTTTTCTGGAGCAGCTAGGTGGCGCAGTGGATAGAGCACCAGCCCTGAAGTCAGGAGGACCTGAGTTCAAATCTGACCTCAGACCAAACATTTGACGCTTACTAGCTGTGTGACCGTGGACAAGTCACTTAACCCCAATGGCCTAAAAAAAAGAAAAGAAAACCTCCCTTTTCATCAATTCCATTACATTCATATGCTATAATTTGTTCAGCTATTACCCAATTAATGATGTCTCCTTCACGCCAGTTCTTAATTAAAAAGAGCTTATATGAATATTTTTGAATGTATAAGTATTTTTACTTTTTTAAAAAATATTTTTGAGGCATAGGCCTAGATGCATCAAAGAGAATGTAGTGCAATAACTTTGGGGACATAGTTCCCATTTGCTTTCAAGAATGACTGGACCTACAAAGCTCCATCTTCTAGTTCAATTGTGTGCCTGTTTTCCCCTCAGCAACTCCAACAATTATTGTTTTCCTTTTTTGGGTCATATTTGTCTATTTGATGATCGTGAGGTAAAACACTGGAGATGTTTTAATTTCTTTTACTCTTAATTTTTAGAATTTTGGATTGCTTTTTTGTATGTTGATTACTTAGATTTCTCTTTTTGAAACTATTCATATCTTTTGATTCATATCTTTTGATCATTTATCTATTAGAGAATGGGAGAAAAGATTTTTCTAAGTTAATTTTTTTCTCCTTTTAATTACGTTGATTTTATTTGTGCAAAAACTTTTCATTTTTATATAATAAAAATTGTCCATTTTATCTTCTGCAATCCTTTCTATCCCTTGTTTGCTCATGAACCATTTCCTTATCCGTAGTTGCAGAAGTCATTTTCTTTCTTGCTCCTCTAATTTGTTTATGATGTGACCTTCTATATCTAGACCATGTACCCATTAGGAGCTTATCTTGGTATGATGTATGAGATGTTGGTTTATACCTAATTTCTGCCAGAGACCTTATCAATTTCCTAGGCAGTTCTTGTCAAATTGTAACCCTTACTCTAGTCATTGCAGTCTTTGGATTTATTCTACACCGTCTTAATGCATTTATATGCATCATATTAGGTATATGATGTATACCTAATCTCTTGTAATGACTGTTTTTCAGCTAGTATCAAATAGGTTTGACAATTAGAGCTTTCTTCCCACTTATTTTCAGTCTTTCTCTTAAGATTTTTGGCCTCTCATTTCTCCAGAGCAATTGTGGTATTATTTTTTCTAGCTCTATAAAGTATTCTTTTGTTAAGTTGCTCATGAAACAAATAAATTAATTTAGGTAGTATTATACTTTTTATTATATTGGCATAGCCTATTCATTTTCTTTTGGGAGGAGCTTATGATTTGTTCAATTTCTTTTTTTGAGAATGGGTTGGCAATTAATATATCTCTGTTTATGTAAGTGTTTCTGTAAAGAATGTTTTATAGTTGTATTCTGCTACAAAATTGTAATTATTCCTATGTGTGCCTGGATAGGTGAACTCCTGCATTTTATACATTCTATAATTAATTTGAATGGAATTTCTCTTTCTGCCTCTTGTGACTCTGCTTTGGCAATATATAGAAAGGCTCTTGATTTGTGTGGATTTATTTTTTATCCTGAAATTATTAATTGCTTCAATTAATTTTTAAATTTGACCTAGGGTTTACTGATTATTCCCTCAATTTCTCTTTCTTACCTTATAGCTAGTATTTCTAGTACTATGTTACGTGAGTGGTGATAATGAAAGCCTTTGCTTTTCCCTGTTCTTAGAAAGGCCTTTAGTTTATCTCCATTACATATAATGTTGACTCTTGATTTTATATAGCTACTATTTAATCATATTAAGAAATGATGAGTTTTTTCCTTTGTTTTTTAGGGTTTTTAACGTGGATACTTTATTAAAAGCCCTTTCAGTATCTATCAATATCATCATGTAACTTTTATAGTTTTATTATTGATATGACCTATTTTTGTTTATAGTTTAACTAATATTAAACCAGTCTTGCATTCCTGGTACAAATTCTATTTGTTTATAATATACAATCTTGAACATGTCATTGTACCTCTTTGCTAATATTTCATTTAAAAATTTTGCATTAATCTCCTTAGAGACACTGATCTATAGTTTTGTTTTTTTTTCTCTCTGACTTGTTTCTGCTATAAGTGTATAGACCATACTTGTATAATAGAATGAATTCAGTAGAATTCCATCTTTTCCTGTTTTTGCAAACAGTTTATAGAATAGTGGAATTACTTGATCTTTTAGTGTTTAATAGAACTTATTTGTAAGCTAACTGCTTCTGCGCTTTTTTCTATCCCTTTGGATGTTTATTTATGGACTGTTCAATTTCTTTTTCTGAGATTGGGTTATTTTGAATACCTTATTCTTATTCTATTAATCTGTAATTTTATTTTTGTAAATATTCATCCACTTCACTTAAACTGTTTTGTTGGTATGTAATGAGATTAAATACTTTCTAATAACTTCCTTTATTATTTGTTGTGATTTCTAAATTTTTTCATACTAGCAACTGCTTGTAATCTGACTTATTAATTCAATGGGGTTTTTTAGCTTACAAATTTGTTAAATTTTAATTTAATTTCCAAATTTTCAGAATTCCTGTTTTGATATTTAGTTAGTTCTCTGTCCAGTTCATTGATCTGTTCTTCTTTTTAACATTGTTGATGAAACTGTTTAGAGAATTAGAAGTCCCCTTCCAACTGCTTTGGTATGTTTTCTCTTCATGGTCATGTTCTTTGCTGAAAATTTCTGTAGATTCTATAATTTCTTCTTTGACCTATCTATTCTTTAGGATTAAGTTATTTAGTCTCTAAGTTTTAAGCCTTTCTTCAATGGCACTTTATTAGATATAATTTTATTGTATTGTGGTTGGTAACAGATGTATTTATTATTGCTGATCCTCTATTTCCTTGTGAGATTTTTATGTCTTAGTACATAGCCTATTTTTTTACCATGTGCAGCTGAGAGATAGTTAGGTAGATAGATAGATAAACTTAATATGTGCCAGACACTGTGCTAAGACTGGAAGTATATATTAACAAAAAAGCAAAAAGAAAGGCAATCCCTATCCTTAAAGAGATTATATTCAAATGGAAGACAATACATTAAAGGGAGCTGAAAAGAGGAAGAAAAGAACAGGGTGTTTGGCTCAAGAAAACCCAATTTGTAATTTTCAGTCAGAGCATTTATTCACACCTCAGAAATTAGCTAATGCTACTTATCAGGGCCTGATTTATTGTTTTGTTGATTTGCCTAGACTTAAGGAAATTATGGTAAAATGTTAATAATGCAAATTATACCTACAACTGTATCATATGTTTTCCCCTAGACAATTGATAAATATTTATCAGCTGGAGGAGGGCTAACAGTGCAGAAGCATCTCTGGGCTAAGAAAGAAGCCAGAGAAGAGGTGGAAAAGTGAGGAGAATCAAGAGCAAAATTGTGAGCTGTGACTGGTCCAAGCACTTCTTCCCATGGAGATTTCCAGCCAGAACTTACTACTGGAAAAAAGAGTCCAGGGTGAGAAGGAAGCTGAACAAGAGGTGGAAAAGCCCAGAGAATCAAAAGCAGAGGCAAGAGAGATGTGAGTGTACTCCTTTCCATTCCCTTTCAGTAATCACTAGAGATCTGGCATATCTAACTTTTCTAAAATTCTCGCTCTCTCTTTTTTCCTGTACATTGATTAGCTTTTCCTTTAAGCATTTAGGCGTTATTTCATTTAACGCATATATATTAAATATCAATATTAATTCATTAT